AGTGGACTAAATTCACTAATCACCTCGAGAGATAAATTAAGGAGCACTTCCAAGACGAAAAACGTTTTGGTGTTTTGGCTGCCAAGAAGGACTAACATTTTTTTTTTAAGATTTTATTTATTCATTTGCGAGAGAGACAGAGAGAGAACAAGCAGGGGGAGAGGCAGAGGGAGAGGGAGAAGCAGACTCCCCGCGGAGCAAGGAGCCCGATGCGGGACTCGATCCCAGGACCCTGGGATCATGACCTGAGCTGAAGGCAGACGCTTAACCATATGAGCCACCCAGGCGCCCAAGAAGGACTAACATTTTGACGGGTCAACAACAGAATGCAGAAATAAGCACCGGGGAGATGTTTGCTAGCTCTTCAAATTCTATGTAAAACATAAGGGCACCTGGGTGGCTCAGCTGGTTAAGCGTCTGCCTTTGGCTCAGGTCAAGATCCCAGGGTCCTGGGATTGAGTCCCACATCAGGCTCCTTGCTCGGTGGGGAGTCTGCTTCTCTATCTGCCTCTCCCCCCTGCTCGTGCGCGCGCGCGCTCTCTCAAATGAATAAATAAAATCTTAAAAAAAAAAAAAAAAAGAACATGAGAAACTCAAGAAGTACATTACGGATTCCTAGCCAGTTTCATCGTAAAAGGAAGAGTGATATTAAATTCCCACACTGGTTTCCAACAATGAAGTGACACACACCTGTGTCCAAAAAAGCCCTCGTCCCACCTCCCTCAGCCTGACGGGGTTAACGGGGACAGTGGTGGGGGGCCCAGTTGCTCCACAAGAACCCACGGGATCTCAGCTCCACAAAGCGCCACCTACGAAGCGCAAGGCATCGTGATGACCATCACCACCAACAGTCGTTGAGCACTTACTATATGTGAGGCAGTGTGCCCTTTACACGTTTTCTCTCGTTTCATCTTCGCAAAACCCCAGTGAGGTGGGCACTTTGTTGTCCCACTTGAAAAATGAGATAACTGAACCACACAGAGGAGTTAAGTCACATCTGCTAGAGTCTCGGGCTTCATCACTTAGGCTGTGCTACAGGTGCTCTGGGGTGAAACACGGCGCCTGCCCTTCTAGATTTCCCGGTGACGTAGAGATAAAGGCTCCCCCGCCTCCGGGGCTAGGGAGCAGAGTGAACACCCATCCACTCCCTCCCGCGCTGACAACACCGTAACTGGAGGAAATCGGCCAGAAGGACCTTTCTCTTCTCCTTGAGAAGTAGGAGGTGGGCTCTGTTCATCGCAGGGGGAGAAGAACTTTCCGGAGAAAGGCTCACTTGGGAAGAGGGAGAGGAAACATGGAAGAAGACGAGGTGTCCCAACCCATGACTTCCACAAGCTCCTACTTCTCTGAAATGCAAGACACCTACCCCCTGGAGGGGGCGGTGATGGTGCTCCCCCAACTACGCAGAGCCACTCATGGTGCGGGAAGCCTCCAGTAGGAGACTCCAGGGCTACCTGCTTTGACCCTCCCAGTCGTTCCCATCTCATCAAGGGTCCATCCAACACAGAAGAGACCACCCCTCACTACTTCCACAAATGGTAACTCAGAACGGCTCTCAAGTGGACGTCAGATGCAGGGAGACACTCGGTGGAAAGGAGTTAGTAACTCTGTGCTATTTGAAAAGGCAAAGAGAACAGAAAAGCTAATGCCTAAGGAAAACTATCACCTTTCCAACTGAACCGAGAGAGCTGGGCTCCGTAAGTGGTTTTTTGTGGGGAAGTTCACCAGTCTCCAAACAAAAATCTGCCCATTTAATTCTTCCCTTGATTAATTAGTTAATAGTAAGAATCACCAATGAAATGTGAAATTTTTAAAATAGAACTATAAAGTCTGACTGGTTTTCCTTTTGTAAAGTAAGAGGGGTGTGATGCTGAAGATGCAGTGCGTAGGATGCTGGCACATCTAAGATAAAGCAAATGAATAATCATTTCTTTCGGGTCTGGGGTTTTTATTCTTATTTCCCAGGTTCCTGAAAAGAACCCTTTATGTCTGCTGACAGGTTCTAGTTGTTTTTGAACAAGCTTTCACAGGATAAGTTTTGAAACACAGAAGGCCCTAAAATAGAAAGCCCCCGTAATAATGCACATTTAACTATAAAAGGTAAAGGTGAAAAGACAATGTTCCATATTTTCATCCTAACTACTAACGAAGCTATGGTTTGAAATCGGGTGGAATACTCTGGTTCAGTTTCAAGCATTTATAAATATCTTTTGAAAATGCTAGACATGAATCAGTTATTTCCAGAGGCTTGCATTCTAGCACATCCCATGTGACCTCTTGATTTCTGACTCTAGAGACCCAACAAACTTCAAATGCTTAAAACCGATCCAGTGCGTGGTGGACTCACAGGAGATGCACCACCCACTTCCCCCTTGAAGGAAGGACTTTTTGCCCAGCTATGTGGAACGCTGTGAGCCGATGGCGTTTGGCCATCAGCCTCCTTAGGGATTGTCTCAAGGGCACAGAGCTATCTTGCCCAAGGACACACTCTTCCCAGGGCATTCTATATCCAATGACTGCTCAAGATGGGGGTATAGAGGCTTAGCCGTGTGAATTCAAGATGGCCGCTGACAGGGGATTTGGGCTGCAAGGCTTCCCACAATATTGGCTGAGGCTGTCTTCAAGTTCAGCCTCTCCCTCTGCCCCTCCTGCTTATGTGATCACCCTCCCACAGGGAGTTGGTCCCATAGGTGCTCCCTAATAAACATCTTACACACAAACTCTCTCCTGAGAACCTTGCCCGAGCCCGCCCGGGGCCAGTGGTTCGCGGCTCATGCTGCCTCCAGTGAGACCCCAACACCGACGGCGCGGACGTGGGCAAAGAGACGGTGGCCGCGTTCTGACTGGGCTGGCTGCTGCTTCTGGCACTACTCCTCTACATACAGATTTATTCAAACCAAACAACTGCTGCAACACTTTCGGGTAACTCCTCCCAGAACACCACGACTGCCCCAAATCCAAATAACGCCACCACCACAGCAACCGGCCGGGGTCCGCAGCCAACAGCCACTCTTTGTGAGCTTGTTCTCCCTCCTATATCACTACTGTTAAGAGACTCAGGTCAAGAAACCTTTATACTGCCCCATCTTCTAGACCCAATCCAACGGCATCTAGACATCCAGTGTGACAAGGAAAAAACAAGTCTTCAGTGAAGCTGCTAATTCTACCCTGTATTTTATAGACTCGGAAAATGCTGAGGATCCCAAATTTGATTGGCTTGAAGAACATGTGAAGCATTTGACTAGATGATGAATGTCTCTTGAATCTACTGGCGTTTCAGAAACAAGATGAAAAGACACCATCCAAGATGAGTTAAGAGATGATTTCTTTAAATGTGGCTTAAGAAGCATGGACATGTAAAATTCTACCTTAAACATGAGAAGAGATTTTATATCTTACCTAGATCTGAAGGATGGGATGTCAACAGATTGTTTTCATTTGGTTCTTTCAATCTTTAAGGCCGTAAAACAGGTAATACAAAAAGCTTTCATGATTCTACTTATATGTATATTAGAAGGAACCTCCTGGTATTACTGTAATCCTCAACGCACTGTGTAATGTCTATGTACTCTCGTTTTATTTTTAACATTTTTAATAACCATCACCACCAACAGTTGTTGAGCGCTTAGTGTACGCGAAGCAGTGTGCCCTTTACACGTTTTCTCTCATTTCATGAGAGAAAAACAAAGTTTTACATTGTTCAGCTCTCACTGTTTCTTCAGAACTGTAGGCTTTCCTCTGAGGCTTTGGATTTGACATTGTCTTTGATTTTTTTATATAGTAATTGACACATGCCAGGGCAATAATGGATTGGAATCTTCCTCTGATTGAAGTCTAATGGGTAAATTTTGCTTATATACTTAGCACCTATTCCAATTCAAACAAGAGTGCCAGATATATTTTGTTAAACTGATTCCAAAGAGTTAGAAGTATGTTGACCTCAACTAATTTCAAAATGCTTCAATCTCTGCATACATTTACTTTTTACAATTTAAAAAAAAGATCTGTTTTGAAGGTAAAATTGACCAATCTTGAAACTGAAAACGCAAAATATGTGCAGGAGCCAAAACTGTAAATCAAGTATTTGGGAAGTAAAGACTGACCAGAAGCTCACTTACATTAAATTCAGAAAAACTTTTATACTCTTTCTGTAAGTACCTTTTTTTTTTTTTTTTTTTAAACTGTGAATCAGAATAGCCACATTTGGAACACTTTCTGTTCTCAGTCAGTATTTTTAGATAGCTAGGACCTGGTCCTGAGCCGAATCTGGGCTTGACTCTGGAAAGCAAATCTTTTCACAGCTGCCTCGATGCACAGAAAGCTTTTGAAAACAGACACTCTAAGGTCTTTTGTTCGCATGGTCACACACCAGTGTGCAGATGTTCTGGTATCTATGATGGCCACGGCAGTCTTGATAACCAAAATCAATTTTTCCTGTCTTTAGAAAAAAGATGGCACCAGAACAACCACGTCCAACAGATCTCAAGCTCCTGTGTGTGTGTGTGTGTGTGTGTGTGTGTGTGTGTGTGAATGAACATTCCATTTTGTTTCCTGCTGGAGTGCTGTGTGTCCATTTTGGGTTGTATATTGTCTTTAGGTATTTGTGCTTTGAATCACAGTAACTTCTCGTGTTATAGAATTGATTTGCATTGCACACAAACTGTAAATAAAAAGAAAAGGCAGAAAGAGCAAAAATAAATAAATAAAAATTTTAAAAAATTGAACTCCCTCCTCAGTCTTCTCCCAAGAGAATCCAAGGTGTGACTCAATGCCTTTCTGGATAAGAAAAGGACGGCTGATTTTCAAGGTTAAGCAGGACAAGTTAAACAAGGAGGCCGAAACAGAGTTTTCCTGCTTCTCTTGGCACTCCTCCTCTAGGCAACGCACACTCCACAGTGCGTCAAGAGTCAGCCTAGAAAGAGATGAGGCAGTCGCCCTGGGTTGGTCTTTTGCATTATTCTGTTCAGATAAAGAAGCACAACAGAGCTCTTAGGGAGCTTCTATGTACACAAGTACACAAGTACATAGAAGATGAAAAAATGAATACAGTCATCTCATTAATTTACACCCCAAACCACTACTTTCAGCCGAAGCTCCTAATGAACCTACCCGAAAACACATCTCCCATAGTACGCCAACGACTGACTTTTTCCTAGATCATCTTCCCATTTCTGACAAGAACAAGCACAAGAGAAAGTACTATTTTGAAAACGAAGAGAAACAAAAATGGCTACTCTTAGGCTCTTTGACTGAAAACAGTGAGCATTCACCATACTTCCACCCCTAGAGACTGGCCAAGCTTGGAATGAGTGAAGTAGCACAAATCCGACACGAGTTAGTACTGAATCCTAAGGATCACTTCTCCTTCTTTTCTTTTCTTTTCTTTTTTTGTGAGATTGCAAGCAGGAGGAGGGGCAGAGAGGAAGACAGAGAGACAGAATCTCAAGCAGACTCCACGCTCAGTGCAGAGCCCAACACAGGGCTCGATCGCACAACCTGAGCCGAAACCAAGAGTGGGACACTTAACCAACTGAGCCACCCAGGCACCTCCCCCCAGGGGGTCACTTTTATATACAGGGCCTCAAATTATCTTACCTAAATAACCCTAAGAGGTTCAGATACACACCAGGATCTCCTTAAGTTTTCCCTGATTCGTAGGTACATGCACTCAGTAGGTACATCACTCAAAATATGCAGAGGATGGTTATAAACATACTCTAAACAACTAGCTGTGAATTCTTTAATACAACTCACCTGTTTATGGATTTCACACTAACCAAACTGGCTGACAGAATGATTTTATCTTTGGTATCAATCCAGTTCCTAAACTGCTTAAAATGGTTACAATAATTTTAGTAAATGATAGAAATACCATTAAAGGTCTTTATCCGTGCGTGCACTTGAAACGTTTTCTCCAAGATTTCCCTCTCCTGGCAGGACCGTCCAGATGGAAAGAGAACATCGTGTCTTTCCCCAGAATAAACGGTCCGGACTGCAGCACCTTCCTGCTCAAGCTCCTTTATGGATTCTAAGTCAATTCAAACTGCTGCTCAGCCCTTCCCTTCCTCCCTGACGCTGTCTTTCCCTGCCTGAGCACTTCGGGTCTAATCAGACCACTTCCTTCCTGCTGGCTTTGGGTTTTGTTAACAAAGTTCTTCCATCCCTTTCCCCACCCCATAGTCTCAACAACTTCCACTGATGAAAGCACATTCTCTGACACTCCTGAAGAGAAGTTGGACTCCGTGGAAGGCTGCCAGGGATGGAAATGGCCCCCCCACTGTTCCCGAAGACACTGTGAAGGGTTCGTGTTGGTCTTCAGTAGCCTGCACCTTCTTTCCTTCTGGGAGGCTGAAAGTGGGGACCACGCCAGGCAGACAGTGCCTTCGTGACCAACACCCTCAGAATACCCTGGGCCCTGAGTTTCTAATGAGCTTCCGGGTCGGCAACACTTCACAGGTCACAACTCATTGTTGGGCTATTCAAGCTCTGTGACTGCCCTGCAAGGGGCCCATTTAGAAGCTCACGCCTGCTCTCCCTTGTTCTGTACTTTTTCCTGTAAGAAATCGTAACTGTGAGTATAACTTAGAGTCAATTCTTGTTATTTGTGGTAGTCTTATAAAGTCATTAAGAATGCTGAATTAGTAAATATTGAACCACTGTTCCTAAAGAATTTGTGTGTGTGTGTACATTATACAAATATCCCGCACTTTTCCAAAGTTCACATTATGCCATTCTGTCTTTATAGAAGGCCTACTACATTAGGACCTGTTGCTGCTAACCAAAAGAAATCGAAGGAGGATTTTTTCCCTTTTACTAAAAAAGCAAAAATAGCATTCAGCATTTGTTTTGCAGTGAGCTATTATAGAGGGAGCACGTACCCCAAGTAGTGCGAGGGGCACCGCCATGTTCCTTCCCCAGTTACTACACTCAGAATCTCAGCATCAAGCTGCCATACTTAGAAACTGCATCTGTGACCATCTGCGTTTCATCTTGATTTATTTTGTGTATCTGTTAGCAAGATGTGTCCTAAGGTATCAGAAAAGCCTGAGAGAGGTTATTTTTCAGGTGTGGGAATGCTCAAAGTTTTTTCCATGTATATTAATGATAATTGCTTCTTTGCTTAATGCCATTTTGGTTTGTGAAAGATGTCATAGAAATGCTCTAGTTTTGGATAGTGAAGGAAACCTGTGTGTGTGTGTTTGTGTGTCTAATCTCATAAAGATTTTATCTTAAATCCTAAAAACAACTCATCCTGGTAGGTTCTATTTTATTTTTCAAAAGAAAAATGAAGTTCACAAGGGTTAAATGACTTGCCTGAGGCCCCCGCCCCCCACCCCCGAATGCAGCTCAGAGTTGGAGTTCCAACCCTGTCCACTTGGCTCCAGAGCTGGGGTCTCCATCCTCTGCTCATCTCTGTGTAAGAGTGAAAATAAAAAGGCAGAGCACAGCCTCGTTTGACCTTGGCTGAGAAGGTGTACACTGGGTGACTCCCAAGTTTTTACCTCTTCACACGCATCTGTGAATAACTGCAAAAGCAATGTGACTACTGATTTGAGGGTTACAAAGATGTGTTCGTGAGTAGGCATGTATATGCTGACACCTTCTAGCAAATCGCCGATTCTGGAGTGGTCCCGGGGACCCCCGACATAGCCGCCAAGGACAGCTCTAGTTTCCCCTTCCTGCCAAGCCACCAAGGCGGAAGAACAGTATTATCATTGGGCCCAAGTGCTAGGACGGGAAGCTTCCAGACTGACCTCTCTCCATCTGTGATTGCTTTGGCCTTTCTTCTGAGATTCTGTTTGGTCTCTCATTTGGCTTGCTCTTCTGTCATCACGGTTGGCCTCACAGCCTCCCTCTTGGAAGTCAAATCGGAACTGTGGTTGAAGCCCGGGGAGAGAGGAAGCCTGATGAATCAGCTAGGCCGGCTATCCTACGGCTGGAGGATAAATGCCCTTTTCCTTAACAACTGTTTCCACAGATTCTTCCTTTGGAAAATCCTTGCCTCTCTCTCATTAGATGGCTTTCCACAGTGGCTTTATGGCCAGAGTAGAGACAAAGACGTGGGCCTCGGATAAAGGGACAGAGGAGGCCCTAGACCAGATGGGCACGTAAGTGCTTAGGGCCCGACGTGGGTCCAACCCAGGTCATCATCGGAGGTAAAGCTGGTTGATAAACATCACTCGTGCAAGCCTCTGGTATCCTTTTTTTGCAGAGGCAGCAAGTTAAAAGAATCTGGGTTCCTCATGTGACCAAAGATTTCATCAACCATGCCGATGTAACGAAGCCTCGATAAAAACTCTCCAACGATGGGGCTTAGGGAGCTTCTGGGATGGGGAAAATACTGATGTGCCCAGAAGGTGATCTGCCTGGAGAAGGCATGGGAGCTGTGTGGGCACCTCCACCCCAAGACCTTGACCTACGTACCTCCTCCATTTGGCTTTCCTGAGTTGTATCCTTTATAAAACAAAACTGTGATCATGCGTATTGTGTTTCCTGAGTTCTGTACGTGGGGCCAGCAAACTGCTGAATCCCAAAGGGGGTGTCGTGGGAACCCTGTTTGCAGCCAGTGGGGCAGAAGTACTTGAGGACATTCAGGACTTGAGGCTGGGATCCAAGGCGAGGGCAGTCGTGCGACTGAGCCCTTAAACCTGTGGAGTTTGATATTATCTCCAGGTATAGTGTCAACACTGAATTAAATTACAGAACACCCAGGAGGTGTCGGACAATTACTGTTGGAACAGCACACTTGCTCTCGCTAAGTCACTCTCTTTCCCTCTCTCCCCCACCAGACCCCATTATATAAACTAGCCCCTCCCTAGCCATGAGTAATGATTTTTTTCTTTTAGAGAGGGAGGGGGAGGAAGTAACAGAGGGAGAGGGAGAAAGAGAATCTCCAGCAGACTCAGCGCGGAGGCCGATGCAGGGCTCAATCTCACCACCCTGAGATCGCGACCTGAGAGCCGAAATCAAGATTCAGATGCTTAACCGACAGAGCCAGCCAAGCGCCCTAATCCTCTTTTTTTTTTCTTTGTAATGAATATTCTGATAAAGAACTGATTTCACATTTACCAGTATTTAATACCTAAGTGAATGGAAAATAATCATCTTCTTTGATATCTCTAATTGTCTTATCTTTACAAAAATGTATCTATAAACACATCAGTGATAACTTGAAGGTATCACTCAAATCACAGAAGCCCTAGAGAACAACTTTCACAGGCTATATTAAAAACTTGTTTAACTGAAGCTTCCAGAACACTAGCTGTTTCAGCAAAACAATTTCTATAGGTATTGTGACCTTGTAAAGAAATATAAAAGAGACTCTGAGCTCAGGACAGTAGAGTAAACATACATGCTGCCCCCTTTCTTCCCCAGAGCACAATGCGATGCCAGTAAAAATCTTTTTTGAAAGAAGAAATCCATGGTGGCACTGAAAACACAGAGTGCTATCAGTGAATAAGTCATTGTAAAGGCTTTCTTCTAAAAAAGAAGATAGTTGGGACTGTATTGACAAGTCAACCAAAACGGGAACCTGAAATACATCATCAGAGTTACAGATAGGAGCTCTTTCTTCCTGAAAGAACTCTGGAGAGCCTCCAAGCTTGGAGTGAGTCAATGGCTACTGGGAGCCAAAGAACGGCCTACAAAGAAGTGGCTATCAGGCAGGAAATCAGGGCATCTGAGTGGAGAATTGCCTACAGAAACGCTGGGCCAGTTGGCTCTTGGGCCTGTCCTGTGTAGACTAAAGTCTGCAGTACTGGGTCCCAGCTGGAGCCCCTAGAACAGCTCTCTCTAGAGGGGCAGGGTTGCCTGGCGAGTGCCCATGGTGTTGGTGGCCAGGCTAGCGAACGAGTCAAAGAGCCTCTAGAATAGACAGAGAGGGGAAAAGAAATAAAATATATAAAAGATGTCACCCAAAGGTTAAAGTTCTCCTTACCTTAGTTAATTCTGGGATGAGGGTTATAGGGGAGGGTCCTGAATCTCTTCTACCTAACCACATACCCTGAAGGGAAACCTGCCTACTGGTATACCCTGCCCATTGAAACACAGTACACAGCCAATCCTCCCATTCAAGAAAGAAGACCGTTGGGTAAATAAACCCACCTAAATACAAAGAAAGCCCATGTTAGCTACCCATACTCACTGACATGGTCTTTGATTCATAAATATGAAGTCAATAAAGAATTTCATACCATGGGTATTGGTCCACTAGGGTGGCCACAACGAAGTACCAAGAATGGGAATCTGAAACAAGAGAAACTTATTTTCTCACAATTCTGCAGGCTTTAGAAATATGAGATCAAGGTGTGGGCAGGACTGGCTTCTTCTGACGGCCTCTCTCTGTGGCTGGCAGATGGCCCCCTTCTCCCTGCATCCTCACATGACCTTCCCTCCATGTCTGTCTGTGTCCTCCTCTCTTCACAGGAGGACATCGATCATAGTGGATGAGGGCCCCTCCTAATGACTTCATTTCAGCTAAATCATCTCTTTAAAGACCCAGGCTCCAAACACGCTCATATCCTCAGGTTCTGGGAGTTAGGACTTCAACACATGAATTTTGAGGGTATGTAATTCAACCCGAAACAGCATGAAAGGTAAAGACCGAGATGAATAAACCAAAACTCACCCAGAAGAAAGAGAAATAACCTGAGGAGCAAAGGGAGAAATTTTATGTTCTAACTAGTACTACTCAAAAGTTCAATCGATTTTACAAACTTACATAGTTTTGGGGGCACCTGGGTGGCTCAGTGGGTTGAGTGTCTGACTCTTGGTTTCAGCTCAGGTCATGATCTCAGGGTCGTGAGACTGAGCCTCGCATTGGGCTCCACACTGGGCATGGAGCCTACCTGAGATTCTCTCTCTCTCTGCCCCTGCCCTTCCTCTCTTTCTCTCTCTTTAAAAACAAACAAACAAAACATACTTTTGTGGAAAAAAAGCTGTGAGCATTAAAGTGTACTGGTGTTTCAAAACTAGTTTTCTAGGGGCACCTGGCTGGCTCAGTCGTTAAGCGTCTGCCTTCGGCTCAGGTCATGATCCCGGGCTCCTGGGATCGAGTCCCACATCGGGCTCCCTGCTCAGCAGGAAGCCTGCTTCTCCCTCTCCCACTCCCCCTGCTTGTGTGCCTGCTCTCGCTGTGTCTCTCTCTGTCAAATAATTAAATAAAATCTTAAAAAAAAAAAGAAAAACAACTATAGTTTTCTAAAAAAAGAAAAAAAAAATCAACCAGAAGAGCTGAGTAACAGAATGACTACAACAATTATAACAGAAATCAGTAAACTATGCTGGTAAATCAGAATAAAATACCGACTGTAAGGAAGAGGCGGGGGGGCTCCACTGAAAACAGCACGAAAGATGAGGAGTTTGAAGGAAAGTTTAAGCATTCTAAACTTGATTTATTCTGAGATATTTATTTGCTTTAGACTTTCTTAGAAAAATGTAAACTTAGGTATGCATGTTAAAAATATAAGGGTGGCTGTGGCCCGAGGTGGGTGGCCTAACTGAGCATCTCATTCTTGGTGGGGGTAGGGGACATTAGCTTTCCCAAAATGTCATTTCCCAGCTCCTGGCTTTACACGAGGACCCACTTGCAGCCCCTCACAGGGCACAGGGCTCACAGTCTCAGTTCCCATCCCCGCGTGGGTGTCTACGCACTGATCCCCAAGGAACACGTCTGGTTCAGCTCTCTCTCAGGGCCATGAGTCTTCGATTCTGCTCACCGCAAGGGTGAAGTGCCTTCATTTCTGACACCTGGAGAACTCCCTTTCTTGCCTTTGAGGTCAGCTAAGAATTATAAAACAATTTAAAAAAAATGTTTCATCTTACATTTCCATGTGTTTGGAAGAGGAAGTGGGAGGACTCCCCCATCAGCTCAGCCTACCATTTGACCCAGAAGTCTGTACTGTGAACAAATACAGTTAATAATGGAAAAGTTTTACAGCATTTACAGTGTGTGAGGCACTATTCTAACAACACTCTGAAATAGGCACTAAAATCCTCATTTTACAGATGAGAAGCTTAGGCGAGAAGAAGTAACTTACTTGCTCAAGGTCACATAGTTAGGAAGTATCAGAAGCCGTTTGGCTCTTAACTGCTAAATACTGTTCCCGTGATACCCCTATGTGCCCTTGAACCAGTACCTTCTGTCCCCTCCATCATCCAACTAGACATATTGGTAAGATTACACCTCCTGGCGGCTGGGTAGGGGCACACGATTAGCTCTGACCAATGAGCCGTGAAAGAGGTTGACCAGTCGCTTCTGGGCCAGAGCATTTCATCGTATGAACAAGTCCCTGGAGAGCTCTCTTATGGCTGACACAGTATCCCGCAATGTTTGAAATGGTGGCTATTGCATCAGCCAGGGATCTCAATCAACTATGCCCGCCAATAACCTACAACGGACAAGCACTGAAAGATAAAAAATAGGAGCCATTTCCTAGCTGAAGCTGCTGATGTTTGGGGGTTACTGTTCATAAAATTCAAGTTATTTACGTTAACAAGTAATGGTGTGTTACTGCTTTTTAAAAGAATTCATAAATGTTTTTAAAATGCCTGCTTTTCATTTCAAATGCAGTTTGTATTGGTAGAGATTAACCCACATAAACCAAAGCTCTCAGGAGTTCTCAACATTTTTGAAGAATTCAAAGCAGTCCTTAGACCACAATGTGTGAGAATCGCTGTACCAGGCAAACACTAACCAAATGAAAGCCTAGAGAGTGATATTAATATCAGATCAACAGCCCGAAAGGGCAAACATATTAGAGATAAAGGCAGATCTTTCCACAGTGATAAAAAGATATAACCACCAAAACAAAATAAAATAACCCTGCGCATATATGTGCCTAAAAGCCTTTGCTTAAAAGGTAGACAATAAAAAAAAAAGACCCGATCACATGGAAAAACTGCTAACGTCATAGACACGGGAGCAGATCTTACGTGCCTCTTGCAGAAATTGACAGAGGAAGCAGGTAGGAGGTCACGTCAAGATGTGGACAAGAGCATTCAGAAGGCCGGCCCCCTAGAAAGCATTTTCAAAGCCCTGTCTCCACGGCCTGGAAACCGCACCTTCCCCCCAGGCACACGTGGAGCAGTGACTACTCGGGACCATTCCCACGCCCCAGAGGACATCCGAACAAGCAGAGAGGAACCAGTACGATATAGGGCATAATTCTCTGGCCCCTAGGCAACTCAATGAGAAAATCAACACATATGTTTGGAAATTAAGAAACAAGGAGTTAAAAAAGAAAAAAAAAAAAAAGCAATGGCAATAATTTATAAAATGTAATGGACTCAGTGATAAAAAAGTTTTTTAAAAAGGCACCAAACACAGTATTTGTGGGCACAGAAGGGCTGTTTGAAGTAGGATGTATAGGCTTTTGTATATTTGAAAAGAAGAAATAGTATAAATGAGCCCGGAGCCGCAGTCCTGTTCAAAATTACTGTTAACATAACTGCTTCCTGACTAGGACTGTTGATTGTGGCTAAAATAAACCAGGGTCCTTCCCAGGAAAATATAAAACGTCTGTAGTTTTCAGGGCTTACGAGGTGTCCACACTGACGCCTTCCCAGCCCCAGCTCCGGACCCCTGCACAACCTCATCTCGGTCCGCTCGCCTCCCGACTCACTCTCCCCCCGGCCACAAAAGCCTTCTCTGGGTTTCTCAAACTTGCAAGGTCCTCTCCAGCCTCCGAGACCTCCCATGGGATGTCTGGCCACTCCCTGGAGGCGGCAACTGCCCGCTCCCCCTTCACTGGCCAACTTCGGCCCCTCCCAGAGACCTCAGCCACCATCTGGCCGTGGAACTCCGTGTCAGCTTGGCCACGGCCGCTGGACTCCTCCCTCACAGCTCTTACCACGATCAGAGAAAACGCCCCGACGTGGGTGAGTACCTGCTTAATGTCCATCTCCCCCCAGCCAGAGAGTAAGCACAGTTAAAAAAAGGGGGGGAGGGATTTGGTTTTTAGGTGCTATTGCTACTTTTCACAATATAAAGAACCACGTTCGATAAATGAATAAATGCCGCCACCAATGTGCTCACTTCTCCTCCCCAAGAATGGCTGGACCTGGACAACTCTCAGTTTAGATGCGCTAACTACTGTGGAACAATGCAGAAAGCACAGACGTGCATTTATAGACCCGTCTCCCTGAGTCTAAGGGAGTTACACAGGCAAAATGACAGGACTGACGAAGTAAGAAATTGGGCAATTCTGCACAACAGACAGCACTAACGTGATGGATGCTCAGGGCACTGCAGCAGTTGATGGCCTCCCCTACACAGCCCCTACCCTCCCTCAGCCTGCCCTCCCTTCTCATCTTCCAAGGCTCTCTGCACTCTGGGGATGTTGGCCTTCTCGCACATTCCTCAACCTTGCTGTGCTCCTCTCCACATCAAGGCCTTTGCATATGCTGTTCCCGCTGTCTGAAATGCTCTTCCCTTTAAATCTCAGTACCAATATCATTTCCTCAAGGAAGGCTTTCCCGAGTCTCAAACTCTGTCAGGCTCTCCTGTTGCGTGTTCCAGTGAGCACCCTGTACGTCGCTCACCGTGGTCTCCAACTGGGGATCTGTGTAGTGATCTGTCTGATCTCTGCCTCCCCCACTAGAACAAAAGCTCCAGGAGGGCAGAAGCTGTGTCTTTTACCACAGCTGGATGCGTGCCTTCCAGCACAGAGTTTAGCACATAACTGGCACTCCATGTTTGCTAAGCGAATGGAGGATGCACTAGGGAAGGAAAAATATTGATTTGGATTTAGGGCAAAGACCTTACTAGGTGTAATAGGAAAAAAAAGTTGATTTCATCTCAAACGTGCAAACATACGCACAAATGTGGACGGAAGAAAAGTGAGCTGCCCCTGGGGACTCTGCACATTAAGAGGATTCACGGTGCAGCCTCCGGCCCCAGGAGACCTCAGAGACAAGCACAGATGACCACAGGTCAGAGATGACTGAGCGCCGTTCCTCTAAAAGACGGCAGGTGGTCGGAGGCCTGGGGACGGAGGACCCCAAACTCCTGCCCACCCTCAGAATCTCGGAGATGAAGTAACTCACAAGCTTCTTTATGAATGAAGTGCAGGCATGAGAGCCCACTCCACTAATCCTACCAGTCGGCCAAGGCCACCGAATGAGATCCCAGCAAAGGAAACAAATCCGGATCAGCACAGCCACTTAGAGAAAACCACTTCCCCACCTGACACTTACATGCCTCTATTCCAAATTTGGGGGTGGGGGCGTAGGTTCCCACATCAATTCATAGAAGCCCACGTGACTGATAAAGTGCCTGATGCTACAGGGAAATGCTCGCCAAGTCTGGGCGCAGCTCTCCTGGGACACAGCTCTGGGCAGTGGATCAGATGTCACTCTTCTCACATGCCACCTGCCAAGCAGTCATGGGAACTCCCTACACCTCCGGCCATTTTACATTTCCTTGAAAGAAAAGCGGTTCCTGCCTGTCTTGCTTCCCTCAAAGGGCAGCTGTGTTTAGGTTCTGGGGGTGCGGGACCCAACAACATCGCTCCTACCACAGCCACTGCCTTACAGAGCTACAAGCTTGCAGGGCTGGGAGGCATCGCTCCAGCTGGTCCTCCAACCCCTCTGCTTGTCTAATGTGTGATCTCACCGCCGCGAAGGCCAAGTGGAAACGGGGCACTTATTAAATCACAGAGCACTGTCCCAGGACGAGGCTGAAAACCAAGTAAGTACTCTATAGCAACCCAGATTTGAACAGAAAGAGTCTTCTTATAGTGGTGTTTCCCAAATGTCAGCTTTTCATATACCACCTTTAGAATTCTTTGCTGTGTTCATATTTCACCTGCACCATATATGCTTAATGTTTTCCTTTATATCAACTCACTATTATGCTTCTATAATAATATATTATTACATAAATACTATGCTTATTATGGTACATATTATGCTTATTTTTCTGCTTATACGATTTAATTGAATAAGGAAATTTTATATTGCTGTGAAATTACAGGTTTCAAATGTTAGTCATTTTTATTTCGTTGAAATATGCAACTATCAAAATGGAAAGTGTTTCTCAACATATTTTCGAAAATCACCTTGCCTAACACACTTTGGGAAATTCTGATCCTGGATACGCCGCAAAAAGATTCCTTCACCAAACTGCCCACACGTTTATTTCATTAATACAAGACTAAATTCTATTATCAAAGTGCTAACTAAATAAACAGCTTGAGAGGCCTTCAGGTAGAGACTGACTGGGGCACCAGCAATGCAAACATCCTTCTGTGAAGCCTGCTTTGAAGGAGTCTCTTTGAGAAGAAGAGCTACAGACACCTGGAAGACTCAAAATACATTTGTTAGCATAAGGGCGGTTAACCAGAATTCACTGACAATTGATAAAAATACACCATTATTACTTATATTAGCTTCCTGTTGCTGTTCTAACAAATGATCACAAACTTAGGGGCTTAACACACATTCAAATTTCATGTCTGTGTGAATTCCCTGTATGTACCAAACTAAATTTGATTTTCTCCTGTAAATCTGTCTCGTGTCAGTTTGATTTCCAGTCCAGCTGGAAGGATCTTGAAGGACAGAGGAAAATCCTTCCTCCCCAACAGTATGCACCAGGTTTTCCAGGAGTCAAATATATGCATGTTCTGGAATAAAGTGTGATCTAAGACCCAGAAAAGAAACCCACTACCCGCCCCCCCACCCCATACACACACTCATTCTCTTACAGTCCTGGAGATCAGGAGTCCAAAGTCAGTTTCACGGGACTGAAGTTAAGGTGTCCCTTCAGGGGCTCAGAACTCATTTTCTGGCCTTTTCCAGCTTCTAGAGCTGTGTTCCCTGTATCCCTTGGCTTGTGGCCCCTTCCTCCATCTTCAAAACCAGCAGAATAGCGCTTTTCAGTCACCACCTTTTCTTCTTCTGCCTCAAATCTCTCTGCCTCCCTTTTATAAGGACACTTGTGATCACATTTTGGGACCCAAACACATAATCCAGCATGATCTCCCCGTCTCAGTACCCTTAATTTATTATTAACACATCGACAAAGTACCTTCTGCCATAATAAGGTGCCATTCACAGATTTCAGGGATCAAGACGTGCATATTTTTTGGGGGGGGGAGGGGGCGGTTATTGAGTCTACCACATTACTTTCTTAAATGTTCAACATGAAAATTTAGTTGAGGGGCCCTAACAGACCTTTACAATGGCAATTCACTGATGTGTATATGAAATCTTTGGTCATCTTATGTCCTTCAAGGACATTAGTCATATTTTCTAGCTCTGAAAGGATACACTGGTCTCCTCAATCTCAGTACTGACACTGTGAAGGCAGATGCCCTTCTTTGTCATTTTGGTTTCTTTCAGAAAACAAGGAAGTGCTCAAAGATTAAGAGAGAAGCATCAGAAGGACTGGGCCAAATTTGGGACATCTGCACATCAAAAAGAATGATGAGGACTGGCACACAGTAGCAAAGCTTCATGGAACAGTCTGTTCTTGGTGCTGTTTCTACCATCGGAACCATGCCTCTGTGGTCCTTCTTGGTGCTGACTTTAAGGCTTGGCCAATGCCAAAATGAGGTCTTAGGAACTACTATGTTAGTCAAGTCAATCCCAGTCATTTTCTTGTGTTAGTGTTCTTTTCAAAAGGCCCTGTCCTCTTGAGCATGAACCTTAAGGAATGGTTTGGTAAACCAGCACCATGACTCCCCATTCTGGAACGGCACCTAAGTAGTCTGACAAGAGCCCTTTGTGCCCAGGCATCCATACATTTCGGCTTGAACCGAAGGGCACTGAACTCTGTATTTCCATAAGGTGATCTCCTTGGCTCGGTTCCCCAACCCCCAGACCCAGGTACAGTTTAGGGTCTCCAGTACTGGGATTTTCACTTAACTGCTAATCCTTTTCCTCATGAGGCTTGGTCATCGGCATATGAACAGGGCAGTTACTGGTGTTGGTCTGGCCCTTTTTAAATCTATGTGAGAAGACTGGAACCCGAATTCTTAAATTGATGATAATTAGCTTTGTGGTTATGTCCTAAGTACAATGTATTTTGTTAGTAAGGTTTTGGTAGTTGATTCCAAAATAGCCAGCTGGCCATTATCTTAGCCTATTGTTTTTCTCATTTAATGAAAACCAAAAGACTAATTCAGTAGGTCAGTAAATCAAATAGAGATATTTACAACAAAAGTGGCATCCTTCTCCAGTGTCCCTGGCTCCTCATTATACACTCAGGTCACAATAAAAATCCAGATGGGGCTGCCACCCTGTTCTCAATACCTACGGATATAATGGCCTTTTTGCTTTTGACAAAAGGAATAAAGGCTGATTGTAGTCTTGGCAGGGATATAATTTTTTATCCTCAGAGAGTCTCTCAGTCCCTACGAAGGAAAATGGCTGACTCTGCCCTATTTCTGAAGAGCAAATGTGCACATTAGAAAACCACCAGCATAACTGCAATCTCTCTGGGAGGCCACCACAGAGAAAACCCAGCTTATTTTGGCAACTAAGTGGAAAAATACCTCCTGTTTGCCTATGTGCACATGTATGCAACCAGGGCTGGGATGGAGCTGAGGACTGGGAGGTACCGAGGAAGAAGGGAAAAGGATGGGGGGAAAACTTGAGATCAGAACCGTGGCGAGGATGGTGTATGTGTGTGTCTATGTAACTCTGAGTGTACGTCTGCGCACGTGAGTGGGGTCTGTAGCTGCAGTGCGGGCACGGGAGAGACAACACGAATGGAGAGCGCTCACATCCAACGGGGACACTGGTTCCCAAACTCGGCAGCACAATGAAACATCTGGGAAGCCTTAAAGATGCGGATGCTTGGGCCCCACCCCTGGAGACTCCAGTCTAACTGGGATAAGTAGGGCGGGGAGTGGAACAATGGTCCCTGGAAGGTGTCTACATTCCAGTCCCCGGAACCTGTAACTACGTTATGGTACATGGCCAAGAGGCATTAAGGTTGCTAACCAACTGACCTTAAAATGGGGAAATTATCCTAGATTATCTGGGTGGGCCAGATGGAATCACAAAGGTCCTTAAGAGCAGAAGAGGGAGACAGAAGTTAGAGGTCAGGGTGATGTGATTTAGCAAGACTCAGTTCACTGGTGTTGGCTCTGAAGATGGAGGAGGGGGCCACAAGCCAAGGAATGGAGGAAGCCTCTAGAAGCTGGAAAAGGCAAGGAAATTAGTTCTCCCCTGGAGCCTCCAGAAAGGAATGCAGCCCTGCCCACACCTTGCTTTTTTTTTTTTTTTTTTTTTAGCCCAGGTAGATCTGGGTCAGATTTCTGACCTCCAGAACTGTAAGATGATCAATGTGTGTTGTTTTTAAGCCACTAAGTTTGTGGTAATTTGTTACAGCAATAAGAGAAATCTAAAACACTGGTATGGCTCAAGCTTCCAGGAGTTTAAAAGCCCCCCGGGTGATTCTAATGGGCAGCAAAGTATGATAACCACCAGACTCCAGGGAAGACAAGACAAGGACATGCTGGTAAGATTGCTTATGCTGGAAAGATGCATGGTGATCTCACCCGGGAAGTCAGCAAGTCACCCGCTAAAGAATGTACCATCCGTTCTTAGCCACCTACCCAGAAATGACTACACAGTGGCTTACCAAGGCACATCACAGGATGGGCATGCTTCACCATCCTGGTGGCTAGAATCCTTTCTAGTCTGACCGCTAAATTGGCTATATTTCCCTTAGAGAAAGAATAATTAGGGGCGCCTGGGTGGCTTAATCGGTTGAGCATCCAACTCTTGGTTTGGGCTCAGGTCGTGATCTCAGGGTCGTGGGATCGAGCCTGGGGTAGGCCTGGGCGCTCAGTGAGGAGCCTGCTTAAGATTCTCTCCCTCTCCCTCTGCCCCTCCCGCTCTCTAAAATAAATAAATTTTTTTTTAAAGAACAATTATACCTATGATAAGCAGATTTTCTCTAGAGCTTAGTTTCTTACTAACACTCTCTCTAGGAAGGAACTGGCCAATCACTGAATTATACGCAAATATATAAATCAGGACATTCACGTTAGCACCATCAGGAAAAGGACTCAAATATCCTCCCCTCTGTGCTTGAACTAGTAATAACCACTATTAGCATTATAAAGATAGAGGGTTTCTCCATTTGCTTTAGCAATCTACTTATAAATATATGAATTTATTTATTTATGATAAATGCAGTAGTGTTGGGGGAAGAAATGAACTCATTCTTTATGGAGATCGAAAAAAGAAATACTTGCTGTATAGTTCTGACAGGTGCAGCCCTGCTCTCAGAGTGAGCATCATCCATTCCCAGGGCTGCCGTGCTCACAGGTCTGTGGTCATTTTTCTTGAAAGCCATGCCACTGTGAGCCTCCATGGCACTATCACCAGAGCTAAAACCTTAGAACCTCCCACTTTTCTCTCCTTATGTTGTTTTCCTTAGAGAGGAAGGGCAATGTGGTAGAAAAAGCAGTCACGAGAATCAGATGACCCGTGCTGGGATTTCAATGCTGTCACTTACACGTGATGTGACATTAGGAGGCCCCTCAGCCACACTGAGCTCCATCGCTAGCAAGCAGGGCTAGCATCACCTTCATGATGCTGTGTACTGATTAAATGCAATGACACAGATGGAGACCCCCATCGTTTCTATGCTTTCACATGTCACCTCCACGTGTCAGAAACTTCTGACATCCCTTCTCGTTGGTCCTGTGCTCTCACTGAGCTCTGGTACCAAACCACCAACTGTCGACTCAACACTGCCACTCGGATGGCTCAGTGGCATCTCTAACTGGACGTGTCCCAACTGGACTTGGGATCTCCACTCACAGACCACTGCCCCCCCCAGCCCCCCAACTGTCCACCACGGTACAAGCGCCATCAATCACCTGCCTCTGTTCTCTTCCTCTCCATTCCGACCACCGCGGGGCTCCTACCAGGCCCTGGCCCCTCGTACCACGTGCCACAAGCGTGGGAGCTTTTCATGTAGGCCCCCAACAAAGCTCTGTTTTCCCCAAGCCATCCTGCTGTGGTTTGCAAATTAATCTTGCTCCAACCGGATCTGTCACATCAAGTCCTGAACAGAGATCTTCAAGCACTTTTCTGCCCTGCAGTCTGGAATTTATGAGGGAAGAAGAGCCAGCTCCACTGGGCATGTGGATGACACAGGGTCCCCGCGGCCCGGAGCGCCACATACCAGTGTACAACGCTCTGAGCACTTTCACCCCATTATCACATAAAGGAAAAGCTCCTGGGACATGGCGCTCGTAAAACAAAGTATTTTTTAAAGCAGCGACAAAGGACTAGAAATTTCTTACCAAATTTCTTTACATAGTGTTCAGCTAACTATAATCTAAATCTGCCACAAAGCAACCTCAACTGCGTTGAACTGTAATAATCCATCGATGCTAAACTACTTTACATGTTTTGTAGTACTAAAATCATTTAACAAATATTCCCACCTTTAGTATTTACACTAAACGGCAAAAGTGATCAACCCCAGACATGTTCTTACCGTTTTGTTCATCTAGTTCATTCCCAATTTCCTTCCCCATCTGTTTCTGGCGACTTATGATAGAGGACAGGGCATCCAGGCCTGCATCCTGCTCTGAAAGAGAAAGTAAAAGAGGCCACTAAAAACCAAAGGAAAACAATTTCAAGTCCATACCCAGGCATGTAATACAATTCAATATACTGTAAAAATAACACTTGAGGTCAGAAAAAGAGAAAAAAACAGTTAATATTAAAGAGAAAATAAAGAAAAAAATATTAAGTACCTACCTCATACCTTAAACTAAAACGATTTCCAGATAAATTAAAATTTTAAATATTACAAATGAAATAACAAAAGATTTGACTACATCAACGTTTTAAACTTCAGTACCTAAAGAGCATAGGCAGATCAGTAAGAAAAATATTCCAATTTTATAAATGGGCAAAGGATAGAGACATGAAGTTCACAAAAGAATACCAAAGGAACAATAAATAAAAGCCTTGACAGCGCTGATTTTTTAAAAATATCGATAAGGAACAATGATGAGATTTTTTTTTTAGATTATCATATTTGGAAGGATTGAAAAGCATGCTAATGCCCAGGGTTAACTAACGTCTGAAGGAGAAGCTCGTAAGCATTGTCACGGGAGGACAGGAAACATATCTTTCTACAGAGCAAATCGTGCCAACTTTTCATCTCTCAATTCCATGTGTACGAACGTAAGAAAACGTTCAGATGGTATGCATTGAAGTATTTACAAGGATATTCCCCGAAACATTTCCTAGGCTGGTTATCGGTTTATTGCCTCTCAGTCCCAAAGTCACCCTTTTTGGCTGTTCGGTGAAAACGCATCTGGATCCTCTAAGTATTTTTTCCTTTGCCAGCTCTGTCAATAGGCAGGACTGCAGAGACTCGGCCGAAGGATGGTGTTTGGCTTCTGGGCTACCGCCTGCTCCCTCGACTAGCTCCTGCAATGCTGCCAGCTACTCCTGTCCGCCCCCCGTGGCCGGCAGGACTTGGGCTCACTGGCCGCTGAGTGTCCCGGGGCCCTGGTCGACCAGCAGTCCCTCCCCCGGAGCGGCCGGTAGGACTTGGGCTCGCCGGTCACTGAGTATCCTGCCTTATTCCTCTGCTCCCCTGCTAAGGTTAATAAAAATATTCCATTTTCCCTGTTCAAATCTCTTTCTCCTGATTGGACCCCAGAGGCATACAAGTATAGTAGTGGAAAATTGGAAACTATCTAATGCCCAAACACAGGGATCTGTTTAAAAACATATAGTATATTCATGAGTAAAACATTAGATAGCTATTAAAAATGATATCGTACATGAACATTTTGATGTTAAAAGAAGTTAATGATACGTAGGTCAGTTAAAAAGGAGGATACAGAACAATGTATAGGAAAATAGCATTTTTCTTTTAAAAATTGAAGATATATCACTTCGCTAGATTTTGAAAATTTAAAGGTAAAAGAATTCAAGTTACTCAAGAGCCTTTCTCTAAAATGTGATGTTATTTTCTTTGTTTCTGTTTTTGTTTTTCACTGGGCAGTCTCCGTGGGCTCTTTGAAGTTTTTTCTTCACTTTCAGGTGCACTGGGAAGAACGTTCTGGGGCTGAGTCTAATGATAAGGACTCTTTCTACCCCAGCAATATGCCAGGTGAGGGCAACAAGCCACTCACAACTTCACTTGTTGATGGGGATTTTTAAATGACTGTGTCATAGAAAAGCATATCTATGAAAATCACAAAGGTCTTTTCTTACCCAAGAGCACAGTAACGTTGACTCCTTGTCTTTTTATGGAATTAAGCCATTACACCTAACTTGTTAATTCATCTGGAATTTATTTAAACTAACGGTGTGAGGTAAGGACCCCTCAGTAACATTTTTTTGACACTATGTACATTTTTAACTATACAAATGACCCGCTGTCTCCAGGGATTGTTCCAAGGGACCATTTCATAGCAAAATCACTTTATAATGAGGTCCTTTTGGTCTTTAGCAACAACCTTTTGGATGGCCTCCAAGGTAAATCTATCGTCAACCTAGTGCTGCTATAGGATGGCCGACGTTACAGCAAAATTCCAAATGCATCCCAAGAATAATCTATATAAAGGATCAGGGGTCAAGGGTCAATGTGGGTTAAAAGGTAAAAAACAATTTAACAAGAGGAAGGGAGACTCCTCTACAGTTTACAATTAGGAGAAGAATCATGAATGCTCCCAAGTTGCTTTATCTGGTAGAGACACAGATTATGAATGGAAATACCGATACTACCGCACTCTCTTCTCTCCACCTTGACTCACTGTCTGACTTGACTACCAAAAGGTTATCTCGCTGATGCAAAACAGAACAAGGGTCAAAAATTCTGTGCCACTCAGCTCATTTCTGTAAGATCCTGGTACCTCCTCACTATGGTAAAGTGCTACGGTAAGTTTCCATTCCATAATCCAAAGACACAGAGGGTCCAACTAACAGAGATGCTGTGTATGTATTAATAATCATACTGATGACCTGAGCTTCTCCAGGCTTACAGTGGCATTTCTAAGGGGATGCAGTGCGGTCACCCGAGAGACAATGAGCAAGAGAAAATGCTGCTACTCACAGAGACAGAAACAATAAAGACCCACGCAATTATGCAGAGCCATGCGAAACTACGCTCATGGCACACTCGTAGCTCATTACCCCTAGTCTGCCCTCCAACACATAACCCCCGTCACTATGATATAATCATTTGCAACATACCACACTCTTATCAATCGTCTGTCAGTATTATAATGGTGTTGATTTTTAAGAATGGATGAGCATCATGCTACCCAGAATAATGGCCCCTTGGAGATGTCCACATCCCAATCCCTAGAACCTGAGATTATGAGACCTTACATGGCAAAAGTAACTCTGCAGATGTGATTAAGGCTAAGGAATTTGAGATGGGAGAGTGTTCTGGATGATCCAGGTGGGCCCAGTGTAATCGTGAGTCCTTCAAAACAGAGACTCTTTCCCAGCTGCAGTCAGAGGGAGACTCGAAGAGGGTCAGGAGATGCAAGTTTCTGGCTTTGAACACTGAAGGGGACTGTGAGCCAAGGGATGTGGGGGGCCTCGAGGAGCCAGAAAAGGTGAGGGAACAAATTCTTCCCTGGAGCCTCCAGAAAGGAACCAGCCCTGCCAACACCTTGATCTTGGCCCAGGAAGAGCTGTATTGAACTTCTGACCTGTGGAACAGTAAGATAATAAACTTGCACAAACTTCCCTATGTTTGTGCAAATTTATTGCTGCAGCAACGGAAAACTAATACAATCATTGTTTTTGAAATTCCCTTTGGAATAATTAGGTGTTTGGATCCTTCCTATCTTTAGACATTCTGAAAAACCATCCTCTAACTGAACATCATGTAATTGTGGGAGGACTATCTGGTGGCTCTAGATCAGAGAGGGACAATCATCATAACGTGTTCTTGCCAAAAATAACAAACTTGATTCTGATCAAGCCACAAAATCTAACTACCAATTTAGAGAAAATATGTGTGGCAGAGGAATATGTTAAACAATATATGGGATTACAAATAGCAAGTCTAGATAGTGGGAAAATACAGGGCGAATGACCCTGCTTCTTCAACGGAGAAACTGCAAAGGGAAAAAGAGAGAGTTGGCAAAAGTACCTATCTATTAAAGAAACTTGAGGGACATGTCAATCAGTTGTAATGTATAGGCCACATTCAGATCCTGAATCGAATGAACTAAAAAAAAAATCCATCGTGGGCAATCTGGGAGATTTGAACACTGGATATTTAATCAAATATTAAGGAATTCCTGTTAACTTATTAAGGGTGATAATGGCATTGTGGTTATATTTAAAAAAACAATCCTTTTCTTTTATAAACATACTTTAGAGCTATATTCCAGAATATCCACCATTGAAATGACAGGACATCTAGGATTTGCTTCAAAAATAACCCCGGGGATGGGCAGGATGGGGAGGTAGACAGAGAGATGGAACGAGACTGGTTAGGAGGTGGTAATGGTTGAAGCAACTGCTGGGCAAAACGGGATCATTATCTTACTCTCTCTACCTACAGTTTTGAAACTGTCCACGGCAAAAAGTTGGCGACATTTTAACAAATAAAGAAAACCAGGGGACATTCCTAAGAGCTGCAACCTCAGGCCCCTGACCGCGTACATGACAAGGGCCCCAATGGCTGGAGCTGTGTCTTCTTTTCCTGTATTTTTGCCCCAGTTCTGAGCCCAAGTGGTGGTACAGAGCATACTTAATACATACGCTTCAATCAAGGAACGACCACAGAGGGGCCACTAGGCTTGCACAAGAACGCACCTCAGTCTCTGCTGGACACAGGGGAGGGCTTGTGGGCAATACTAGATAGCCCTCTGAGTTTAGATCATAAGGAAAAGTAGCTGATGCTGTATGAGTTAGGGCCCGGACAGAAGCAATGGGAAGAATTCTCACATTTGACACAAGGAGGAGCTCTCCCTGGATACGGGGAAGTAAGGGACAGATGAGGACAGCTGGATCTGCTGGATAAAGTTAATTACTCCATTGGGAAAACTCCCAGAGCAAGTCCGAAGAGTGGATGTTTCTATTTGTGTTTGCGTTTTAAGATCTGAGGAAAGGAATCCTGGTGTAGGTGACAGCTACCAGAAAGGGTATCTTCCAAGAAAGTTGTCTGTGAAGTTATGGCTGCCAGGGTTCAAAGATGAGCTGCCCAGCTTTGCCAGTCTGGCCGGCCACTTTCCCTGCTGCTATTTCACGTGACAACCTGGAGGGACCTAAGAACACAGAAGTCCAGAACGAGTGCCCAACTTTCTGCTAGAATCCAGAATCGTGGTACGAAGAGACGGCATTAAAACCCTATCTACAGAGAGTCCCTGAGTAAAGGTAGAAGGGTACTTCGTACCTCCTCCACAGTCTGCCATCCGACTCAGAGGCAAGCGTCTAACCAAAAAGTCACCCTCCTTTGTTGTATCTCAGGGATTTTCAAGGTGATTTGGTTAATGTCAGCCCCTCACCCATCTTCTGCCTAATGTCCATCGGTACCTCAAATTACAGCTTCAGCACAGAAGCCAGAGCTGGGGCTAACTGGTTGTCATGAGGCTTCGTTTC